TGCCTTTACCGATGTGCTGGCACTCATACTTGAAGTTGGTCAGAAGCACCTCTGCGCGCCCATCCACTAAGCTGACGATGCTGTGAGCGATGGCATTGCCATTTCGAAAAAGAGGGGCAGGGATGTGTTCGGCTAAGGCGTCATCATTACAGTGCACACCGCAACACACAGAAACAAGACTACATGACAGTAGTGGCACGAAGACGTCGTCGTTGACATCACGTAACACCCTGGGTTCTTGGTCTGGATCATAGGTCACAGGCTTGTCAGTGACGAATGTAATCACACTATCACGTACGTTGACCACAGTACTGTACTCTCTTAAGAAGTCTATACCCAGTATCAGAGGATTGCAGCGCACCGGTAGGATCAGATGTGGCTACAAAAGCCACATTCTCAATCGTGAGTCTTGCTGTACATTTTCCCGTGGGTGTCATTATCTGGCCTCCAGCATTTCGGATATAAGGGCCCGTCCATTCTATCCTGACTTTCATGAGTTTGTCTGCCAATCGTTCACTCATTATAGAAAAGTCTGCACCCGTGTCGACTAAGGCCGTCACTTCAACGCGATCAATCGTCACAGCGGGGTCGGCAGTCACAGTTTTCTCGGCGGAGTCTTCATCGTCGTCTCTCACGTGTTTCGGCAGCAGTGGGGGTTTTCGGCTATCCGACGGCTTGCAACCTTTCCCCCAGAGGTCACTGCTTTCAGTTTCCCCGCTGTAGGCTCGGAGACCAACTTCTGACAGCGTCAGCAAAACTACGGCAGCTTGGTGAACGAAAACGAGCCGGGGATGGTGAGCGCGTCCGGAAGGTAGCAGAGCCTTCCCGCCTGCCAGCCTGGTCATCATGGATGGGGGCATGGCTTTCGTTGAACTGTCGGCGCGTAGCGGTAGGTACACTACCGCGGTATTCAGATCGGCGATGTGGGCAAAAACAGTATATGTGCCCTGGCTCTCCACAGTTGGAGCAGAGTGGTCGGGATCCACAGTGTGCCATATGTCAGTCTTCTGCATATAGCGTCGCCTGACAGAATCCTGCTGAGCCCAGGCTGCCACAAGATACGGTTCGAAATACTGTGGTGCTGGCATGGGCTTGTGTTGATGAACAGCGTCTGCATAGCTGTATCCATTCAGCTGGTAGGATACTTCTGGAGCCCAATGGACGACGCACAGCGTCTGCGTAGGTACACGAGTTTAGATGTTACGATTCAGTCGAATATTGCTGAGCGGCAAACGCTTGTCGAGGTTCATGGCGAACGACTTCAGCGACGGAGGCTACCAAATAATCTTGCTGCGGGGGCGCCTGTGACTGCAATGTGTACTTTGCGTTCTCCTTCGCGATGTCCTCACACACGATCTGTCGAATCAGGTGGCGTAGAGAAAACTCATCATTTGCGGTAAGTGCGGTGGCGCCTGCAGCTGCGCTGGTGGCCGGGCGATCAGACTATCTGTACCGTTGCTGCAGCGCGAGCTCTATTGCGATAGCCTCCCTGGTGAACTCGTGCACTGTTGTTTGCGGATTGCGCACAAGACCAACAAAAAGCTGCTCTTTGACGCCCCTCATGAGATGGCTTAGCTTTTGAGCCTCGGGCATGTTGGGGTCCACGCGGTGGCACAGACGCACCATATCCTCAGCAAACACGGCAACGCTTTCATGCAGCTGTTGGGTGCGTCCTTCAACAAGGCGTTGTGCGTTTTCGCGTCGGTCGGCGTTACCAACGGTGTCAAGAAACAGATGACAAAACTCCTCCTATGTCGTCAATGTTACCTCGTGGTTTTTGAACCACGTCTTGGCGCCGTCTTCAAGCGCGAAGTATACGTGGAAGAGCATTCCATCGAGACTCTAGAAATTTGATTTAGCTACCCGTTCAAACTGCTCAAGCCAGTCTTGCGCATCTTCGTTCGGTCGGCCATGAAATGGTTCAAAAATGTGCATATTCTGGACTGTCACCTGTGCAGGAACCTTGCAAATGCCATTTCTTCAGTAGGGGTGGCTGTCTGAAGTGTTGCTCCTTCTATGAGGCCAAATTCTGGTTCAAGAACTTGAAGGCGAGAGCTTGAGCGGTGCACAGGCGTCTCCACGCGTGGCTGTCTCGTAGGGCTGGACTCAGGGCTTCTCACAGAGGTGCCTATCATGAGGTGGTAGTACACAACTCCTCCACCAGTGTCACGGGTTATAAATTACAGAGGGTTTATTTAGAAACACGGACAGTGGAACTTGTAGAGACGCTCTCAAAAGAAGGCGGCTAAGATTGTCGTCTTCTTCACTCGCCTGCGCTCTCAAGCAAATCCACGACGATCTTCGTTGTCATCGCTATCTCGCCGCTAAATGCAGCTATGCATGCGGCAATATATATATATATATATATATATATATATATATATATATATATATATATATATATATATATACAGTGATATCCCAATAAACGAAACTTTTTTAGACGAAAAAGACGCATCAACGAAACTATCTACCCATAATTGCTTGGTCATCCGTATATTTAACGATAAAAAGTTTTGGGCAATCGGAACATTTTTTATAGGTTTCATCGGGTAAATTAACTAAAATGACCAAAAGCCATGAACGGCGGAAGTGGCCATGGCAGTCTAGCAACCATGGAACGAACGTCAAAGTTAGCCTAGGCAAGCCAACCCAGCGATTGCACATTCCCGGGCACGCTGAGAAGCAATCGACGTCTCGTCGTGAACTCGAGGAGACAGTCTTGAGGAACCCATAGCTCAAAATCAAGATTAAGGCTTGTGCTCAAGTGCTAATGACATGGTGTGTGATCCCAAGCCCATTTCAGAGGCTGACAGTGCAGCAAGAGATTCTGTCATTGATTATATGGATTGGCTCCTGTCAGTGAAGGAAAAGAAGAGGAAGGAGAAAAAATAAAAAAGAAAAGAAAGTAAAAAGAAAAAAGTGGAATTCTACGATAACCGGGACCACTTATCCGTGCGTTCCGGCTGTGCTTGAAGTGGCAAGACGATAGTTATAGCGCAAGAACAAAACGACGAAACAGAGACAAGAAGGACACGAAAGACACGATAGTTATAGCGCAAGAACAAAACGACGACACAGAGACAAGAAGTCATCGTTTTGTTCTCGCACTATAACTATCGTCATGCCATACCAACTAGCCCAAGCTGCCACACTTCGAAGCAGCAAACCATTTCTCTATTGCCAGATGTATACGCTTATAGCTTTGTTAGGGGGTAATATTATTGTATTGTTGCAATGAGAGGCTAGGGGCAGAGTTCTGAATAATGAGGGCCGTTTGCGTCTTTTAGTGATTGTAACGCTGACAGAGTGCTTGGGTTTTCTTTTATTCTGTTTTTATCCTGTTGATTTTTTTTTTCTTCTGTTTCCTTTCCTCCTGTTTCTAGAAGCTATAAGAAGACAGGAAAATGTGTATATAGTATTATGCCTTGAAAAAGACGGGGCTCCCGTCGAGACGTCGGGACGTCGGCTGAATAAACAAGTTGTTATGCGAAAGCGCATCTACTTTTACACTTTGAATATATATATATATATATATATATATATATATATATATAAAGTAATAGTAAATAAGTAAATAAAGTAAATGAAAATAATGAACTATCGATGTCATTAAATAGTAGTGCCTTGAGATGAAGGAAAAATTGTTTCGTAGTAATTGACTATATTTAGAGCGACACAGTTTCACTTGGGTGCTAAAACTTTAAATCACCCTCCAGGCATTGTCAAGTTATATAACCCCTCAATAACTACGTATCACATTCACTTAAAGCTGTACAATATTTTCAGCATGATCGGAGATTGTCCGAAATCGACAGGGTACATCGGCGTGGGCCCGTCCATGCGAAGGCCGGGTGGCACAGATCGGGTGACACTCAGCGTTCACTCAGTCTACCTTTTGGCGAACACAATGTTTTGGCCTGTTGTATCAATAAAAAGACCCAGTAAAACCGCTATAGTAAGCTTCAGTTAATGCGACTTGTGCATAAACAATCGAATCGTCTTCACATAGCAAGGCAAGTAGATTATACTTACGAGCAAACCAAAGCTGGTTGTCCAGCTGTGCGAGCCGGTTTATCCTTCACTACATTTACGGCACATGCTACCCTAAAAAAGGAATATACAGTGTCCCACAAAAAGAACGCGTATGCAGCGGAATCACAAAAAAAAAGCCAGGCTTGCGCGGCAGGCGCAGCACAGTCACAGCGAAAGATAGAAGAGTGGCCTTTCAGAGCGTTTTCTGAACACTTGCTTGATGCCCAATATGGCATCAAGAATAAAAGTTTTAGGGCAGTAGGCCGGCATTCGCTATGCTATCTTTCGTCATTCTTCTGAGAAGCGGGGTAAACGCAGAACTATTGCGAGGAATTTTGTGCCAATCGCTCATGCAGTGGCTGATGGCAATGTGTAATTATGCCTGATGTTGGTATGTGCCACACGTATTAGCTGAACAAAAACAAGCTTTTGTAATTGGTTGGAGCATTGCACGACCCACTTGTTGCGCTATTCGAATTGTGCGATGACTGGTTGTTTTTTTGCTGCTTCAAAACGCTTTATAAGTCGTATATTAACACGATTGCTTTTCCGACATCAAGCCTTCCTAAGGCAAGCTTGCCATTATGTCCCAAGCACCGGCGTGACTCAGTGGTAGAACACTGGGCTGGCGCCCCGCGCACCCGGATTCAAGTCCCACTCTGTCATTGGTAATAGTTCCTTTTTTTCCTAATTACGTGCGCTGTGGTTACGGACACCGATGGTGGCGGTGGACAACTATGGCACTGCGCGAGACCTAAGTTGTGATCTCATAACAGCTTTCGCTGTAAAAATCTGAGGGAACAAGCACGCTCACCGTGGAGGGCAGAACTTGGCAGGCCACACTATCTTTCAATGGGTGGTCGCGATCAAGCTTTCACTTCTCACGCAGTCTTTAAGCATATCCGAGCGACGCATGTAATCATCCCAGTATCATCAAATCAAACTAGTAAGCTTGGCATAGTCACCCATTTTGGCTCTGATAGTGAAAAGTGAAGACCGCTTTGGCCTCCTCAGGGATGAACACTGGCCGCTCTGCTGTCATGCACTTCTCGCTGGGATCGTCAACCGAGCTGAAGTAGGCGACGGTGTCTTGCATCGTTGCCACAGCCTGTAGCAAGGTTGCCGTGTCATCCTGAAAGAAAAATTGCAAAAGAACGAAGCTCATGAATAACATCGACCTTAGCCCGATTACAGCTCTGTCAGGATACAACTGTGATACTATATTACCGCGATAATGTGTCCTCAAATGAGTAGCGTATGGTAACCAACACCCCTGTCATACACCTCATTGAAGACGCCACGCCAGGCCCTGGAAACTCTCAACTTCTACAAACCATCATAGAGGGCAAAAAGATCAACCATGGTGCGCTCCAGCTTCCAACACCCGGAGTGGATCTACTGACCTTTGTGTTATGATCACATGGGCGCCGCCATTCGCGCTATTGCACTTTCTGGTATAGAGGTGTCCTCGTCGGGGCCAAATTTCTATAATAAAGTAATCAAATTGTGCATCTTTGCGTAACGCTACACCTAATAAAACAATTTTCTGTATATACCAAGTAGTTTGGCCTAGCTGGGTGCTGAGTCATTACTTTTTGTAATAGTTTTTGCTCAAGTTGGTTCGTAGTTATCAGCAGCCTATCAACATCATTATCCTCATTTCAAAATATACGATGGCCAACGGCAGTGACAGAAGGTAACGGATCGCGGTGCATTCGAATGGCTCTCGCAGTTTCATCTCGATGTAAATATTTCGAGCCACTGCCAGCCGACACACCTACTTTCGTTCTGTTTAACTCGTTCAAATGCTTTCGCGAAGCGCACTCGGGTGACTTCGAAGGAGCGAAGCGACCGTTGTCGCTTTCCTCGGACAAACACCCGTTTCAAGTTCAAGAATATACGGCCTGGACTCATGGGTGTCCGCAAGAGGGGGTCATCTGCCTTCCCCTGTAACTCGGGGTATATATGTGAAAGATAGGCGGGGGGGTTACTTTTAGGCTTGTACCTTGGTCAAAGTTTTCCCAAAGCTGGAGTGGGTCGTATGTATCTCTTCTCGTGTGTGCACGGCCCAGCGCTGCGGGCTAATCGCGGAACCATCTGAACTCGGACCATGTGCGTGTGATGTGTAGAAGCGACAATTCTCTTTTCCGCAATACCTTGGTCGCTTGCTCAGGCTTTTTTTCTCTACCCTACGAAGATAAGACAGGCATAAACCACCCACCTCCGGCAGCTCTCCGTCTTTCCTCCTGCTAATTTTTCTCTCCCTCCTGTGAAGCAATTGTCGCTGTTGCTGCCTTCGTTACTTCTGTTTTTCTTTTCTTTCTCCTTTTTTTCTTTTCTTTTTGAAATTCTTGTTTGGCCATCAAATTGGCCGGGTGGCACGATGCGGCACTTAGTGGCTGCGCCGAACTGGGACTGGGACTGCCTGCTGCTCCCCACCACTGCACGCTTTTATTGTGCACGCCCGGATTCCAGACGCTTCTGGTGCCTTCGCTTGTGTGAAGCACAGTGGAAGCTACGGATACGTCGAGTCTTCTCTGGAACTTTCCGCCGACGGTGAATGAATGTGCGGTTGAAGGAGAGGAAAAGGCACTATTTGCTGCAGCCCATGTGAGAGCACGGCTCAGCGCCTCAAGGGGGAAGGGGGGTTAAGTGGAGAAAAGAGTCTAGGAATAGGCTGGAGGAGAACGTTTGGAGAAACGTGCGGCGGCCATAGCAGGTAGAGCGGAATGCGGTCAGGAGCCGGTGGCAGGGCAGTCCGAGTCGTAAGACCTGAGAGTGTGGGGCTACAGAGATCACGAAAAGGTCCTGCAGCTTCGATGATATCCCCGTGGAATCCAAATGTTCCAGGAAGCTCTTGAAGGCCCCTGGCAGGTTGCCAGAAAGAGCAGGTTGTCTTGGCTGCGTTGCAAGTGGTGGTGGTTGCAAGTGGTGGTGGTAGTGATTAGAGGAAAGAAAAGACGCCTCATTTCTGCAGCCCGTAAGGGAGCACGGCGCAGCGTCTATTGGCCTTCTCTCCTTACTACATTGTACGCTTCTCGTCAATCTCCTGCATCCACTCTGGAGCACTTCCTTTTCCCGTGTCTCCCCTATCTGCCAGAACTTCGAAGTCTGGCGGAGTTCCTTGAGAAGACGGGAATCGCGACCTACCACTAAAACCAGATCACCCTTTCCCACACCCTTTCCTGCCGGCGGCCTGCTGTTCATGCCATTAACCAAGCCTCGTCATGTCTAAAAACACCTTCTTTCCTCTATCCACTTTCATCACATTTCCTCTACCCAAGACACTGCACCATGCTCCCTACAGGGCTGCAGAAATTAGGTGTCTTTTTTTCTTTGAACCACACATTCATTCATGCCGGTGGATGTTTCGAGGTTGCAAGGAGGTTGACTCGCCACCACTTGGTGTCTGACATGGTGTCGCACTGTCTTCGATGGTTGTTTTTTCGTTGCGCGGTCTTGAAAGGAGAACCCGCTGGCGGCCCGACTGCTTTCTGTCGTTCGAAGGCGCACTCATTTTGTGACATTCTGACAGCTTTGCCTTCTCCGGTCCTCAATTATGGATATCCGACGATTCTTCACGCGTCCATTGATGCATGACGGAGTGTCACTGAGCTGTCCGGCGGACGATTCTAGAGTGGCGTGTGACAATTTTGCTGCATTTCACCAGCCTAGTGATGCAGACTCCCACCAATAGACAGTGCCTGGGGTCGCCGCCACCGTGGAAGAGGTTTCACCATCAGTGAGCTACTACGGCACAGTAAGCCTCGATGATACTTCTCCGTGCTAGATAATAAATAAAAATTACAACAGCAAGCAAGCAACTAACATTTCTCGAGAATATGACTTAGGAGAGTTCCTAGACAAATCTAAACATGCCGGCATCCCAGAAAACTTGAAGTTACGACTTCTGACTATTCCATGGTCGCCAAATGCTACATATGACTTTAAGAAAAATGTAACACTTGGCAAGAGGACTCTTCGCTACCAATGGCTGGCAGATCATGCCCCTTGGCTTGCGTACTCAGCGACACTGAAAGGCACCCTTTGTCGTTTCTGCGTCACCTTTCCTCGAAATGTTCATCGGCGCACTGAAGGTAGCTTTATCGGGCGCACTTTCAGTAACTACAAAAAAAATGCACGAGGCGTGCACGGATCATGTGAAATCCCAATGACACCAGGAAGCAACGGCCGCCTCACATAACTTTATGAGTGTGATGTCAGACAAGAAATTACCCGTTGTACAGCAGCTAAACAAAGCCCTGCACGAGCAAGTTGGAAGGAACCGCCAGAAGCTAATTCCGATCATTGCCACCTATATATTTTGTGCAACGCATGACTTGCCAGTACGCGGCAAACAATCTGACAGTGGAGTTCTTAATGATCTTCTTGACTTTTTTGTAGAAGCAGGAGATGCACGGCTTCAAGAACACTTTGCATTGTCTCCTAGTACAAGGCTAAAACTCAGCTTGCATTGCCGCCGCAATCTTGAAGTTTTTAAAGGATGCTGGGCTGAATATTTCGAACCTCGTTGGACAGGCGTACGATGGATGCTCGACAATGGCTAGAAGATAAGCTGGAGTTCACAAAGTATTGCAGAAAGAGCTTCCAAGTGCATTATTTTTCCACTGCGCAAGCCACAAACTGAATCTCGTGAACAACAGTTTGAACGGTCTCTGAAAATTCGAACACAATAGGGATCATTAAGCAAACCATAAACTTCGTCTGTGAGAGCATACTTCGCAAAAAATTGGTTCCCAACATTTTGATGCTGCGTGAAACAAGGTGGTCTGCAAAATACAAGTCAGTTAAACTCTTCTGTCCACATTACGTGGCCATAGTTGAAGCACTCGAGAAGCTCTCATGAATGAAATCAACCTCGAACGCTGCAACTAGGCAACGACCTCACATCTTCTACTGTGCAACGACAAGCTCACCTTTGTCTGCTTGCACATCGTAGCGAAGTACAGCGCACGACTGGAACCTGTTACGAACGTTCTACAAAGTGTAACCATGATCTTTTATTCGGTACACGGCCAAATCACTGAGCTGCAGAACATACTTCGCGACCACCGTACTAAGGCAGAAGAGCAGTTCTTTGACATCAAGAGAGCAGCAGGGGAGGCAATCGCTTAAACATATTCATATCTGTGCCAAGGCAAGCCTCTCGTCGGACCCACCGAGACAACTACGAGATACAGTCGCCGGAGAAATATTTCCGCGTGGCAATTTAATGCTACGTAGCTGACGTATCAGTGGTTAGAAGACGACAACGAGGAAGTGGTCTGTCGGTTGTGCGTGCTGTCTTCCATCTTAGTCGACGCCGTACGCATCAGTTTCAATATAGATTTTATATAGACACGCATCGTGTCATTGTTACGTAACATCTTTGTGGTGGAAGCCTGGGTACTTCCCCGTCTTCATCACGAAGCTCCGCAACGGCCGCATCATCATAGCTCCAACCCTGTCACAGGTTGAACAACCATCGTCTTCGCCCCCTGCCCCTACCGTGACTTCTACATACGTCATTCTACCTCCTGCTCGTGATCCCAGTGTATTTTCCGGTCAAGATGGCGTTGACGTCGACAAATGGATCAACCGGTACGAACGGGTCAGCGCAAGCTATAGGTGGAACCCGACTCTAATGCTTGCCAATGTGATTTTTTACCTCGAAGGCCCACCGCGAGTGTAGTTCAAGGCGCACGAAGTGGAGATTACGAGCTGGGACTTCTTTAAAGAGAAGAACCACGACCTTTTTGGCGACACCGTTGGGCGGCAGATCGCCGCGCGGAATCAACTGGCGGCACGTGCACAGACGTCGACGGAGTCGTACGTCGCGTACATTCACGACGTCATCACCCTATGCCGCTAGACTGATGAGCACATGAGTGAGTCTGAGAAAGTGGCCGATGTGCTGAAAGGCATAACAGACGACGCATTTAATCTTCTAGTTTACAACAACGTTGCCACCGTCTACGCCGTCATTAAAGAGTGTCGGTGGTTCGAAGAAGCCAAGAGCCGCAGTAATACTCAGCGATTCACCCGGCTGCCCAACATGGCCGCAGCCTCATCGTGTGAAGCCGCCCGCCAGTCCCCCCCGTATGACAACGTCACACGCATTGTTCGTCGGGA